CCACGCCCCCCGACCCACCCTCATCCCATCCATCATCCTCATTTCCTTCACCTTCATCTTCATCCTCACCATCCTCCTCCTCCTCCTCCTCTCCCCCTCCCGCCCCCGGCCGCGCCTGCGCGATCGCCGCCCCGCCCAGCCCCGCTCGGCCCGCACCTGGGTGCCCCTCGCCCACAGATTCGGAGGTGAAGAGGAAGGTGCCCTCCTCGATGAACACCTCGTGGAAACCGTTCAGTTGCCCGTTCATGGCGGCGCGATGGGCGGCGACAGGCGGAAGGGGAGAGCACGAAAGCACAGGAGCGACAAAACCCGAGCGCGGTAGCGATGGACTGAACGCGGCCCCTACCGCGCCGCCTCTAGTTATAGCCTCCTCGCCCCGCCCCGCTGCTGCTCCCAGCCAATGGCGAACGGAATACGGGCCATGGGGGCGGGGGGCCAGAACCACTGCAGTCGGGTAGGGGGAGCACGTTACGTAACGCGGAGCTGGAGATCAATGTCTGGGGCTGCCCGTAGCGCCCCACTGCCAGCAGAGCACTTACCCGAGTTAAACCGCCGGTCAGACTGTGTCCTCTGCCCCGCACGGGGCAATGTTGCGGTCGCACACCGATGCCCCCGCCGTACTCCCCCGTGGTGTCCGCATGGTGCCTCTCGCGCGGCCCGGCGGCTCGAGGCGCGCGGCAGCGCACGCATGCGCCCGGCGACGGAGTGGAGTGCGCATGCGCAGTGTACGGCCCGCGGGCAGCGAGGACGGCCCCGCCCCCCCCGCCGCCATCTTGCGCAGACCGGCGTCGCCATTGTGCGACCTCGGGCCCGCCGGCACCGACCCCGGCCCAGCCCGGCCCCGCCATGGCCCCTGCCCCCGGCCGCAACCGATCCCGCGGCTATCCCCAGCACTGCGGTCCGGCGGGGCGGGCCTGAGCCCGGGCACGGCCCTGATGGTGCCCACAGCCGTTAGAGCCACTTGACGCCTGATGCAACCGGCGCCCGGTGTTGCCAGTGCAGGAGCCGGCCCGGCTGAGGCTCCCCCCGCCACGGCCTCCGGGCCCGGCTCGGAGCACCCCCGTATCCAGCTGCTGCATCCAGGGCTCGGCGGGAGCTCGCACAGAACCCAGATGGCCAGGACAGAGGGACACCCAGGAGTGACAGAGCCACAGACAGACAGACAGACAGACAGACGGGAGGGATGGAGATGTGGCCCCCACACAGCCAGAACCGTCTGACAAACGCGCACACTCCCGTTTGCTGCCCGCTGTCCGTGCCCGGCCCGGACGGACACACAGACACCGTTCAGACAGACACCCCGTGCGCGGGACGGACACACAAACGCTCCTGTGCTGGGCCAGGACAGACAGACACCTCCGTGGCTGGACAGACGGACAGAGCCGGCCATGTGCTCCCGGGAGGCGGGGCCTTGGGACACGCCCCGCCCACCGAACATTTGCATAGTGGGCGGTGCTTATCCCTCGGTACCGGGGGGGTCCCGACGCCCCCTCCCAACACCCCTTCCCCCCTCACCACTGGAGCCGGTCTGGATTTTTGTAAAAAATGGTTTATGGGTTCCATTTTTGTATAAAACGTGCGGGCGGCCGAGCCACTCGCCCACCCCCAGCTGCCGCCCCACAGCCCGCGGTGTGTCCTACTCAGAATCTAAACCCATCCCAATGCTTCCTCTACAGTCAATCCTCTATGCTCTTCCTGTCAACTATTCCTTAAAAAAATCCCTCGTATCCCCGAGATGTTCCTGTGCCAGGTACAGTACGATGACGGGGGGATCCGGTGCCGCGCTCCCTCTACGCCGTTTTCTGCTGTCCCTTCTTTCCAATCAGAGACTTGTGGATGTGGGGAATGACACCTGCAGAAAGGAGGGGGAGAAATCCTGTCAAGTCACCTGCAGAATTCCCGAGAAACTCCACGATTCCCCATTTTGCGATCCCCCCGAGCGTGAATCCAGGCAAGCAGCGAGCCCACGTGCTGGTGCCAAATTCCTGCTTGCTTTCCCACACTCCCCTCCTTGCCACGACCCCCACGCCAGGTCGGAACAGGGGAACCAGGCCCACCTCCTCCGGCGATGGTGGCTTTGATCAGCGAGTCCAACTCCTCATCGCCGCGGATGGCCAGCTGCAGGTGCCGGGGCGTGATCCGCTTCACTTTGAGATCCTTGGAAGCGTTCCCGGCCAGCTCCAGCACCTGCGGGACGGCAGCAGGAGGTGGGAATGGCCAGGGCAGGGCCGGGGGGCTGCGGAGGGGGGGTCCTACCTCGGCGGTCAGGTACTCGAGGATGGCAGCGCTGTACACGGCCGCCGTGGCTCCCACGCGCCCGTGGCTGGTGGTCCGGGTCTTCAGGTGCCTGTGGATGCGGCCCACTGGGAACTGAGGGGCAATTAACAGCCTCGTTAACACCCACAGCACCCCCGGTGTGCATACCCACACGGCTGATTTGGGCTGCAACTACCCAAACAGATCACTATCCAATTTATTCATTACTAATTAATATCAATAGTAACACATGCCATAATCACATATGATATTGTTATGACATATGTATCATAAAAATGTAATTTAGTAAAGTGTATTATATCTGGTATAGCATAAAATAATTTTATTTTCATTATAATTATTACTTAGGAAATACAACTAATTACTTCTCCCAATTAACCCTCCCATCCTCTCTGTCCCACCCGACAGCAAACCCCCTCTGCAATCTCCCCATGGCTCCGTACACCTCCCAGTGCCAAAACACCCCGTTGTGACCCCAAAGCAGAGGTTTGGGGGTGCCCAGCATTCCCTGAGCCATACCTGCAGCCCGGCCCTCTGGGAGCGCGACACGGCCTTGGCCTTGGCCTTGCCGCTGTCCTTGCCCGCCTTGCCGCCAGCCTGGGGGAGAAAGGGGCCCGTTAATTAATCTAATCAGTCTCTGAATCCAAACAATCTCGTTAATTCTAAGCCAGAGGGACCTGCTGCAGGATAAGCTGGCAGCTTCCCTGGCAACTCAAGGCCTCTGAAACCACGCGGATTCAAGGGGATAAACAAGGGAGGTTTTCAGGGTGCAGCAGCTGCTCCTCACCCAGGGGTCTCATCCTGCTGCCACTATTCCCAGTATTTTCCAGAAAATGCCAAATGGGGGGGAAAACAGCCCAAAATCCCATTGTTGAGGGTTTTTTTCCCAGCAGCTGTGAGCCCAGTTTGTTTTCAGATTTGATTTCTCCACACGCCGGGCAGGGCACTGTTCCTGCACATGGGAATGGAATCCTGTGGGATTCAGGGGTAATTCCCCTCCTGCTGCAGAGTGGGAAATCACCAGGAGCCCCAGAAACGGTGGATTTAATGCAAACCACGTTGGAAGGGGTGGAAATGCCAAAGCCAAGAGTTTGGGGGTTGCTGAGTAACAAGGAAGAGAGAACACAAGTTTGCTGGGCTCTCCCATCCGCTGCCAGGAAATCCACGGATTCCAGGGACATGGGAAGACCCCATGATGTCATTAATCACTAATGAGAGCTGTTCCTAATGAAGGTGAGAGCTGTGGTTGACGCAGGAAAGTAGAGGGAGCTGCACCCTCCCCGTGGGAAAGACGTCAGCAACCCGAAATCTGCTCCAGGTAAAAAAAAACAGGGATAAGAATCCCCAAAACAAAGTTTTCCAGCCCACAGAAAGACAAGAAACAACAGCAGAGGGAGAAGGGAGCCTGAAAAAACCCTGGATACTCACAATCCCTGTTTTTCTAGAATATATTGATCCCACAGTCCCCACTCCCTCCAAAAAGGAGGAATTTTGGCTCATGGTGAGGGAGCTGAAAGGATTCAGACACCCCACGAGAGCAAGTGGAGCACATTAATCCTAAAAATAAGATATGGTTCACCTGGGAATGTCCAAGATTGGGGTTCCATCCCAGCCAGGTGGGAGTTAACACAAGGTTCAGTTCAAACATTGGAAAAAAAAAAATTAGTCACGAGGGGGCATTAATTAATCCCGAGGTGATTAAAGCAAGCAGAGGGCGCTGGGTGAGGCCACGGGGGACCCAGCAAATCCACTCTGTAGGAGTTACTTTCATCAGGAGAAAACATCACTCCACCAAACTGCTCAACTCAAGGAGGGCGTTCTGGGGGGTGGATTTGAGGGGTGGAAAGGCAGATTTATGGGAAAAAAGGGGGAGGCAAGGGGGATTTGTGGATATTTCCTTGCTCTAGGAATAAAAAGCAGCGTTGGGAAAAGCACTGGCTGTTCCCACTGCGGGCTTTTATCAGCCAGCTGTGAACTTTCCCACTGCCCCAGCAGGTTTTCCAGCTCCGAGCTGCCTGCCTGAGACATCTTCACGGGGGAGGGTTGACTACGAAGAGCAAGAAAGGTCTCGCCGTGGAAATCCTGAGGTTTGTCCCGATTTTCACCAGCTCTCCACGGGAAGTTCCCCCAGCCCAGGTGCCTCCGGCTCCCTATAGGAGTGAAGGCTCCTGGACTCCTCCCTCCCGAGGGGGCAATCCCGAGGAATTCCCTCCTCACCCTCCTGGTTGGAACCATCCTTCTGGCATCTCCATCCCTCCTCTCCACCACAGCCCCTCGCTGGGAGCACAATCCCGTGCTAAAATCCTCCCTGCCTCTGACCCGCTGCGTTCTTTGCAGGCAGGCAAACTTTTTTTTTTTTTTTTTCTCTCTTATTGCTTTAAACAGGATAAAACCCCTCCAAGCAGCAACTTCTTATCTCGTGCCGCACATTCCCAGACATCCCCGAGCACAAGTTCTTGGCGGCGGCAGCAGTTGCATAATCCATCGGTGTTTCCATTACCGCGGGGGGACCGGGGCCTCACCGCCGGCTCCGGAGCCCCCCACGGAACCCCCCCAGCCCACCTGTGGGTCCGCAGAACCCCCCAAGCCCCGTGCGGAACCTCAGAACCTCAGGTGGATGCTCGGAGAACGGCAGAACCCCCGCGGTGCTACAGAACCGCCCGAGCCCCCAAAAACGCACAGAACCCGCCTGTGGAACCACAGAACGCCCCCAGCGATCCCGCAGATCCACGGAACGCCGTAATCCACATCGCCCTGCCCGCCTTCGCTGACAGCTCCACACCCGGCTCTCCCCATTCCCCCTGCGGGGCACCGGGCTGAATGAACCCCCGGTTTCTCCCCCCGGACCGGGCCGTTTCCCCGGGAAGCGGGCTGAGCTGTATCCGCGTAACCCCGGAGCAAGCGCCGGGCGGTTGACAGAGCCAGCTCGGGCCCCTCGATAGGCGTTTCCCTCACGACAGCCGCTTCCTCCCGTCCAACCGCCCCGCAACCGGCACAAACCGCGGCCGGGGAGACACCGGCCGACAGCGCACCGCTCTGACAGCGCGGGAGGGCACCGGCGGGGCCGGGTTTGGAGGGCAGGACAAACCCCCTCCCCGGGAACCAGGCGGCAGCGGGCACGGGGCACCGGGGGAGAGCCGGGCCGGACCCAAGGTCACGGACCGGGGCCCGGCCCCCTCCCCCCGCCCGGCCTGGGCTGACAGCGGCGCCCATTGGCGGCCCCACGGGGCCCGGCTGGGCCCGGCCGCGCTGTCCTGGCCGGCCCCCCGAGTCCCGAGCAGCACTGCTGCCTCTGCCCTCACCATGGTACCGCTGCCGCCGTCCGAACCCCAAAGCCACCGCCGCGCCCGACCCGCCTCAGGAGCCGCCAGACAATGACCCGCCCGGGCGGGGGCGGCGGGCCGCGCCTCGTCGCCACCAATCACCGCCTCCCATACTAGTTTGAACATCCCGCAGTGCCCAATGGGCGAGCCGCTTCTTTTCCCGTCCATCACTGGCTCCGCCCCGCGGCTCGTTTAACGGCTGTGTTGCCTTTGCACACGGCACGCAGCGGTGCGAGGGCGGGGCGCGCTCGCGTCCCTGACGTCACCGCCCGGCGAATAGCAACAACGAGCACGGCGATGAGAGGCGGAGTTATGATGATAGACAGCTGATTGAGCCAATCGAATGCTGGTGCTGTTTCCCGCCCATTCCATCGCTCCGCCCCGCGTCGTGTTTGTGTGAGGGAGCCGGAGAGGGGGCCGGCCGTGAGGGGAGCGCGGGGGCTTGGCGGGTCCGGGAGGGCTCCGGGCTTCCCAAAGGGCTCCGGGCGCTTCGCTCCTGACGTGGTCCGGTCCTGCTCGGGGCTGAGAGGGGAGCCCGCCCGGGGACACCCAGCCCTCCGCTGCCGCTGACCCTCCGTGTGTGTCTCTGGGGCAGTACGGACATAGCGCGGCGCTGCCCCGTAGGATGAGTGAGAAGGGCAGCGGTCGTGAGGTAACACGGACCCCGCCGGCCCCGGGCCGGACTGCGGGCTGGACCCTGAGAAGCCGGAGGGTCTGTCAGTGGTGACGGCAGGGGTCAAGTGTGGCCAAAAAGCCAAAAAATTCACGGCACTGTTGGGGGGAAGAGGGCCCCTTTTCCGAGCAAACGTGTCACAGTGAATAAAGAAGTTCCGCACGACGGGCGCCCCGTTCAGCGAGCCCGAATGGAACCCGACCCTGGAGCGAGCTGAGTTTGTAAATGGAACCGGGGATTCACGAGAGAGGGTCGGTGACAGGGCAGCGTTCGGAGCTGGCGGGCCCGGGCCCCTCCGCCCGGCTGCCCCCGGCCATGGGGCGTCCTGCCTGCCGTGCCTCAGTTTCCCTCCAGCAGCGTGTGGGGCGCACGGCCCCGCGCTGTGCCCGCTCCTCGCCGCACTGCCGGGGGCTCAGGGCGGCCCCAGCCCCGCGCCCACCCCGCTCCGGGCCGGCGGAGGGCGGCACCTGTTCCTGCTCCTGCTCCCGTTCCTGATCCCCCCGGCTGTCCCGGCCTCCGTGCCAGTTTCCCTGCACTGGGCAGGGGCGAGGCGGCCCGTGCAGCCCTCGCTGCAGCTGCCGGGGGGCTCAAGGAGGCCCCCGTCCCCCTCCCTGCCCCGGCCGCACGGCTGCGAGGAGGAAGAGGAGGAGGGTGACGAAGGCGTGTGTCGCTGTCCTCCCCGGGGTGCCTGCCCTGCCCCGTCAGTTCCCCCGCAGCACCGGGCAGGGGGGTCCGCGCATCCCCCGGGCCTCGCTGCAGCTGCCGGGGAGGCTCAGGGTGCCCTCACCCCTCACGCCGCAGCTGCTCCCGGCGCCCCGGGAGTGCCGCACCTGCCGCGGGCTGCGCCCCCCCGGGCTCCATCCAGGGGCCCCCCGGCTGTCCCCGGGGCCCCTCCAGCTGTCCCCCGGGGCCGGCCGGGGGGAGCAGGAGCAGCTGCGGGGTGGGATGGGGCCGGAGGAGCCGCTCTCCCGGCCGCGGGGGTATGCGGGCCGCGGGCTCGTGTGGGGAGGAGCCGCGGGGCGCTCGGGGGTCGCAGCGGGCCCCGGTGGCGGTGGCAGTGATGGCGGTGACGGCGGCTCATGCGCAGGCGGGTCCCCGCGTGTCCTCAGATGAGCCCGAGCCCGCAGGGAGCCGCAGCGCGGGGGGCGGGGGCTGCGGCACCGCCGGTGGGGACACGGCACCGGCACGGCGGGGACACGGCACACACCCGCACGCGTGTGTGAGGGCACACGCACCTGACACGCACCGCGCCGTCGTGTGCGTGGCACGCGAGCCTCTCACGTCTGTGCACGCACACCTGGCTGAGCCACGGCACGCACACAGGCCACGCCAAACCGTGCCAGACTTACAGCCGCACACAGCAGGCAGCCGTGCGGTGACACAAATGCCTTACACACACTTTACACACACACATCCACAGCAGGCAGCCATGCGGTGGCACAAATGCCTTACACACACTTTACACACACCTCACACACGGAGCTGTGTGACACCACGCACACCTCACTGTACACACATGTTGTACTGTGCACACTCCAGCCTGGGCTGTGACACAACGTGCCTACGCCACACCAAACCTCCTCCCTCCCCACCGTGCCGGTACCTCACACCCCCAGCTCCCCCGAGTCAGGCGATCCCCTCAGGACACCCCACATTCCCTGTGCGTGCCTTCAGGACATCCTGCACGTCCCTCTAACACCGCAGGGTCACCACCCCAGCCCTCACCACCAGCTCCACCCTCCAGGCACCCCCAAGGAGCAAGTCGGGCCCGGGCTGCTTTTCATTCACTTTTCCGCATACTTTATTTGTTACAAACATACAATTCTTTAAATATAGACTGTAAAACTCCATTTGCAAAAATCTGCTACGTCAGGAGTGCTCGGAGCAGGAGGAGTTCGTCGCGTCGGCCTCGTCTGCGCTAGTGGTAACACCCAGGACCTGCCTCCGGCCCCTGGAGCCGCCCCGCCGGCCGCAGGGAAGGGACACGGGGGCCCCGGCCCCCCCGGCCGCCTAAAGTGCAGGTTTGCTTTAGTTTTTGTTTTTCTTTCATTAAAAAAATAACAGGAATAAAACTTTCTTTTTTTTTTTTTTCTCTTTTCGGCAAAGGGGACGTCACGGCGAGCGCTCGGGGAGGGAGGCGGCGCTCCCGGGATCTGCTGCTCCGAGAGGATCCGGTGCTCGGAGGAGGATCCAACATTCACAGGATCCAGTTCTCAGAGGATCCAACTCTCCGAGGAGGATCTGCTGCTTGGAGAAGAACCCAGCTCGAAGAGGTGGGTCTAGTGTTTGGAGGATCCAGCTCCCAGAGGATCCAGCTCTTGGAGGATCCAACTTGGAGGAGGATCTGGCTCCTGGAGGAGGATCTAGCACTCAGAGAAGGATCTGGAGCTCAGAGGATCCAGCTCTTGGAGGATCCAGTTCTTGAAGGATCCAGCTCTCGAAGGAGGATCGGGCACTCTGAGGATCCAGCTTTCAGAGGATACAATTCTCGGAGGACCCAGCTGCCAGCAAATCCAACCCTGGGAGCGCCTGGCTCTTGGAGGAGGATCCAGTGCTCTCCCCAGGGATGCTGTCCCAGCCCCGTGGCTGGGCTGCCCCGTGCTTGGAGCCGCTCTCAGCCGCTGCTCCGAGGCCAGAGCCCCCCGGGGGCTGCAGGCCGTGCCGTGCCGTGCCGTGCTCCTCCCCGGCCGTCCCGCCCGGATCTGCCTTCTCCCGCCAACGCCCGGCTCGGCGTGGCTCGGCCCCGGCGCCGCTGGCTCTACCGGCTCCGCGAGGATGAGGAGGGCGATGGCCTCGCCCTGCAGGAACATCTGGGAGCATCCACGGAGCCCGCTGGGATTTCCCACTGGGAATACCTGCTGAGCTCCGTGGTGCACCACCCTGCATAACCCCAGTGCTCCCTCAGCTGCTTTGTTAAAATCTTTTCCAGTTTTTTTTGCGATTTTTTTTTTTTTCCCACTTTTTGCTTTTTTTGTGAGGTCAGTGAGGGGCCTGGCTGGTTTTGTCACCAATGTGAGGAGCCGCCACTGGCACGGCCCCCCAAACCACCCCCCACTGCCCCCAAATCCGAATTTTCTTCCATATTTTTTAGGGCAAAAAGAACTGAAGCTGTTTGAACTTGCCCTGGAAGCACCACCCGCTCCAGACCCAGCCATTTGGGGTATTTTCCAGTGGGTTTTGGGGCGTTGTACAAGACTTGCAATATTCTGTCTGTACAGCCATCATCGCGTTCTCCATCGGCCCCTCTGGGGCGGCAAAGCTGGAAGTACCAGGAATTTGGGATATTTTTCCCTCTATTTGTGGATTAAAAATAAAATTAAAAAAAAAAAAAAACCAAAAAAAAAACAACCCAAAAAACAATTTGCCCGTTTTCTACAGAATTCAACCCAAAACCCAACCGAATCTGAGCTATGTACACACAGCCATGTCTATACACACAGAGATGGGAAGGGGGTTCAGGGGAGATGCCGGCGTTGTCCCGCTTTCCTGGGAAACACCCAACGCCTCCTGGGGGGCTCCAAGACAAAAAAACAACCCAAAACTGCCCCCCAAGATCCCCTCCCCCATGGCCGCTCCCCTCGCTCCAGCTGGCACCTCAAATCCCCTTTTTTCCCTATTTTTTTCTCATTTTGGCTGTTTTTTCCGCTGTCTTCCCCCGACGTGCTCTGCTCTTCCCACCCAAATGGAGCTGTGGGAGGTTGTGTCCATGGATCCAACGCTTCTCTGGCCAGGAAAGGCTCCCTGAGCCAACGCCGGGAGCTGCTTTTTTGGGTTTATTACTGGATTTTGGTGGTTTTGCCTTTTTTTTTTTTTTTTTTTTTTTTCCTCTTCCATGTATTTCTAGCCAGCTCCCCAGAGCTGGGCCGGGCCGGCAGCGATTCCGCTGCTCTCCCAGAGTAGAAATAAGGCTAAATCACCGCAATTCAGCCAAAAGAAAGAAACCCAAAGGAGAATATATATATATTTTTTTATATATATATATATATATATATATATATCTCATCCTCTTCAAAAATAAAAGGAGAGGTCCCGCGGCTGGACGCCGGTGAGTCCCGCGGAGCTGGGAGCCTTTTTCCCCCCAAATCCGTCGTCGCCGTCGTGGTTTATGGTTTTTTCTCCGTGGCAAAGAACACAGGACCAGGAGGATGGGTGGATACAGCAGGAATTCACCGGAAAGAGCTGCCTGAGGGTACAAAATACAGTACAGGACACATCGGCCATCGAGGAAGGACTATTGCTCCCGAGTGAGTGAGTGAGGGATCCGGGTCCTTTGCGACGGAGAAGGCTTAAAAACGGGATAAACGGAAGAAATTCGCTTTTAAAAATCCCTTTAAAAAGAGCGACGGCAGCGGGAGCAGCGGGAGGGGGCCGGACGGACGGACAGACGGACGGACAGCGGCGTGGGGGGTCCCCCAGGGGTCTGCAGCTGTTCCTCACTTCCCAATAAATATGGAGAGAGGGAGATGCCGGATCCGTGGTAATAAATTAAGGAGGCAGCTGATTGGGCTCCCAAAAATGGATTAAAAGGAAAAAAAAAAAAAAAGAAAAGTCCTACAAGGGGTGAAACCGTTGGAGAAGAAGAGGCAAAACTTTGGAATGAGAGCGATGGAGTTCAGAGTTATGGGAAAACGGGGTGAAAAACCGGAATTCTGTACAGGGGCAGTGAGGGAGTGAAAAAGAATTTAAAAAAAAAAAAAGACTATTTGAGAGTGGAAAAATGTGTTTAATAGGAGGTGGCTGGAGGGACCAGGCGGCGCCAGGGCCGGGCCCAGGGGGGCAAAAAAAAAAGACAAAAGGAGGCAAAAAATAACAATAAACCTCCAAAATCCACCCCCAAGGTGCCGGGGCCGGGCGGGGCCACGGATTTGGGGCCGGAAAATCCAATTTGGGTGAAGGCAAGGGGCGGATTCCGGCGGGTCCTGGTGAAACGGGGCCGGAGGCGCCTTATTTGGAGAGAAGGGGAAGATGGTTCGCCCCGTCGAGTTTTTCCTTGTGCTTTGTGCCGGCGCCTCCCCCTTCCCGGCGGGAAACGGGGAGGGGGGGAAAAACGGTCAGAAATCGGCAAAACCGAGGAAATCTTCCCTAATTGTCAGGGAGCCGCCAGCTCGGGGCGGGTGCCAGTTCGGGCGCCTGGAGTTTGCATCCCGGGGAAAAAAAAAAACAAAAAAAAAAAACCCAAAAAAAAACCCCCCAAAAAAAAAAATGGGGGAAAAAGGAAAAAAAAAAAAAAAAAAAAACCCCAAAAAAAAAAAAAAATCCAAAAAGAAACCCCCCGAAAAAAGAATCGTGGAAAGAGGAAAATAGGAAAAAAAAAAAAAAAAAAAAAAAAAAAAAAAAAAAAAAAAAAGGAAAATGAAGGGAAAATCACAAGCCGAGGGAACGGCCGTTGGTCCAAGGTGCCTCCGCTGCCCCCCCCACCCCCGCCGCTCGGCTCCGGGGCCCTCCCGTGCTGGTTTGGATGGGGGGCACCGGGAGGGGAGGGGGCTGCGGGTGACCCCCGTCCCCCCCCCAAAGCAGCGAGTCCTGGGGTCCGGGGGTCCCACGGTGGGAGCCGGGGAGGGGGCGGGGGGGCAGCGGCACGGTCGGGCCGGTTTCTCTCTCTCCGGTGGCGGCAGGAGGGGGGGGCGTGGGGGCTCGGGGACCCCCGTGCCCCACCCTCGCCCCGGGGCTCGGGGGGGGGGGGGGGGGGCCGGCGTCGGGGTCGAGGGCTGGGGGGATCGGCTCAGTCGTCGTCCACGTCGTCGCCGTCGGAGTCGTCACCGGCGCCGCTGCCGCTGCCGGGTCCCGGCGGGCCGGCGCGCCGGTCGTAGAGCTTGTCCCGCTGGCGCTCCTGGATGTCGCGCATCTCCTCGGCGTAGCGGCAGAAGGCGCCGCCGAACTTGGCCCAGGCCTTGTAGGGGACGGTGATGGCGTTGCGGTAGGACGGCTTCACCTCGCTGACCCGCAGGAACACCCCGTACTTGTTGCAGCCCACGTCGAAGAAGAAGCGCTTGGAGTCCACGGTGATGGACGTGCCCTCGGGCAGCTCCCCGTAGAGCCCCCCGCCGCCCGGGCCGCCGCCGCCGGGGCCGCCCAGCTCGTCCTCCTCGCCGCCGTAGTCGTCGATGAGCTTGGCCAGGGCGTCGCGGAACTCGATGAGGCCCTGGGCGGGCAGCGCGATGGTCTGGCCGCTCTGCAGCCCGGGGGGGCCTCCCGCGAACCCCCCCGGGCCGCCGGGGCCGCGGTTCACGGTCTGGCGGATGCGCAGGAAGCGCCCGCGCTGGTTCTCCTTCAGATCCATGTAGTACTTGCGGTTCTCCCGCACCAGGAACTCGCTCTTGAGGGCGCGGCGGGGCCCGGCGCCGTCCTCGCCCGGCGGCCCCGCGGCCTGGGCCAGCTGCTCGGGGCTGGACGGGCCCAGCTGCGCGTAGTGCTCGATGAAGTCGCCCAGGTAGTCGCGGAACTCGGCGGCCACGGCCATGGAGAGCGTGAGGCGGCTCTTGGAGCCGCCCGCGCCCACCTCGGCGATCTTGAGGAAGCGGCCCTTGGCGTTCTGCTTCACGTCCAGGTAGAAGCGCTTGTTCTGGATGTCCAGCCGCTTGGACGCCAGCTCCTGCGTCTCCTGCTCGGGGCCGGCCGCGCCGGCCCCCCCCGCCCCGCCGCGGGCGGTCCCGAACCCGCCGCCGCCGCCGCGCTCGCTGCCGCTGTCCCCGTCCGCCATCTTGTCCGCCCGCCCCGCGCGCCGCCCGCTTCCGGCCCCGCTGCGACACCGCTGACGTCACCGCCGCACCGCCGCCGTCACGTGCGCCGGGGGCCCCGCCCGCCGCGTCCCCGCGCGCCCCCGGAGAAGCTCCGCCCCCCTCCAGGCCCCGCCCCGAAGCCCCCTACCCTCCAATGCCATCGCTCCGAGTCCCGCCTCCAGCTGTCAGTCACCGTCGCCACACCTCCTATTGGTCGCTGGGTCCGAGCCCCGCCCCGCAGCCCCCTCCCCTCCATTGAGCGCAGCGCTCTGCTGCCGGGCTGTCAGTCACGGCCACAGCCGGCTCCTATTGGTCAATGCAGCCCAGGGTCCCGCCCACCTCGGATGTCAGTCACAGACACCGGCAGCTCCTATTGGTCCCTGAAGCCCCGCCCCCAGCTCCTCCCTTCATTGAGCGCAGATTCCCGCCCTTCCCTGCTGTCAGTCACAGCCTCTCACAACCCCCATTGGCTCATGATGCCCCAGGCCCCACCCCCAGCTGTCTCTCACCACCCCTATTGGCCGGTGAGGCTCACAGCTCCGCCCCCTCCAGCCGGGGATGCATGACGTCATGGCCAGCCAGCGTGACATCATCGATGACATCATGGCTGGTCAGTGGCACTGGGGCCACACTTTGGACGGGCAACGGGCAACCTCCGACCGAGCCCTGAGCTGGGCCTGGCGGGCAGAACCCACCAGAACCCGCCGGAACCTTCCAGAACCCGCCCTGTCCCCAGGCTGGGATGAGCTGCCCAAGGGGAGTCCTCGAGTCTGGTCCATGGCCACCCCTAAGGGACACCCCGGGACCCCTCAGGGTCTCTGGGGATCCCCTGGGAACCCTCAGGGACCCCCTGTGGCCACCCGGGACCCTCTGGGCATTCCCTGGTGGTCTCTCCCCAGGATCAGCGCCCTGGGACCCTCCCAGCCCGCAGGGGTGACACCCGTGGGACAGGCCAGCACAGTGTGAGGGGACACTCAGCCCCGGGGGTCCCCTGTGTGTGTGGGGGGGCTGTGTGACCCACCCAGCCCCCCTCGGTGCTCAGGGGCTCCTGGAGCCCAGAGGGGACAAAGCAGCCACGGGACCCACTCGGGGTTCCCCCCCAGTCCCAGGGCAGAGGCACAATGAGATGGGGTCCCCCCACCCCAAACGCCACCCCCAGGCCACGGTGTCCCCCTCAGAGCCCCCCCGTCCCCTCCCACCCACGGTGACACCCCCACAGCCCGAGCCCCCCAGCACAGACACAGCCAGGCTCTCCACACAACCTCTTTATGGGGGGATCTGGGGGGTCAACGGGACCCCGGGGAGGGGAGCGAGGGGGACCCCAGCCCCTCAGCGGGGCAGCTCGTGGGGGAGCAGTTTGGGGGTCCCAGAGCCCCCTGAGTGGGGCAGCTCGTGGGGGAGCAGTTTGGGTCGGGGGTCCCTCAGTGGGGCAGCTCGTGGGGGATCAGTTTGTAGTGGGCACCGCAGGAGGGGCAGCGCTGGGCCTCGCCCTTGTGCAGCCAGAACCAAACCACGTAGCTGTTGTCCTCCTCACCTGGGGGGACAGGGACAGCGTGGGACAGAGGGATGGGGACAGAGGGACAGGGACAGAGGGACATGCATGGGGGACACAGAGGGAGTGGTGGGACAGGGACAGCATGGGACAGAGGGACAGGGACAGAGGGACAGGGGGACGTGCATGGGGGACAGGGACGGTGTGGGACAGGGACAGCATGGGACAGAGGGACAGGGACAGAGGGACAGGGGGACGTGCATGGGGGACAGGGACGGTGTGGGACAGGGACAGCATGGGACAGAGGGACAGGGACAGAGGGACAGGGGGACGTGCATGGGGGACAGGGACGGTGTGGGACAGGGACAGCATGGGACAGAGGGACAGGGACAGAGGGACAGGGGGACGTGCATGGGGGACAGGGACGGTGTGGGACAGGGACAGCATGGGACAGAGGGACAGGGACAGAGGGACAGGGGGACGTGCATGGGGGACAGGGACGGTGTGGGACAGGGACAGCATGGGACAGAGGGACAGGGACAGAGGGACAGGGGGACGTGCATGGGGGACAGGGACGGTGTGGGACAGGGACAGCATGGGACAGAGGGACAGGGACAGAGGGACAGGGGGACGTGCATGGGGGACAGGGACGGTGTGGGACAGGGACAGCATGGGACAGAGGGACAGGGACAGAGGGACAGGGGGACGTGCATGGGGGACAGGGACGGTGTGGGACAGGGACAGCATGGGACAGAGGGACAGGGACAGAGGGACAGGGGGACGTGCATGGGGGACAGGGACGGTGTGGGACAGGGACAGCATGGGACAGAGGGACAGGGACAGAGGGACAGGGGGACGTGCATGGGGGACAGGGACGGTGTGGGACAGGGACAGCATGGGACAGAGGGACAGGGACAGAGGGACAGGGGGACGTGCATGGGGGACAGGGACGGTGTGGGACAGGGACAGCATGGGACAGAGGGACAGGGACAGAGGGACAGGGGGACGTGCATGGGGGACAGGGACGGTGTGGGACAGGGACAGCATGGGACAGAGGGACAGGGACAGAGGGACAGGGGGACGTGCATGGGGGACAGGGACGGTGTGGGACAGGGACAGCATGGGACAGAGGGACAGGGACAGAGGGACAGGGGGACGTGCATGGGGGACAGGGACGGTGTGGGACAGGGACAGCATGGGACAGAGGGACAGGGACAGAGGGACAGGGGGACGTGCATGGGGGACAGGGACGGTGTGGGACAGGGACAGCATGGGACAGAGGGACAGGGACAGAGGGACAGGGGGACGTGCATGGGGGACAGGGACGGTGTGGGACAGGGACAGCATGGGACAGAGGGACAGGGACAGAGGGACAGGGGGACGTGCATGGGGGACAGGGACGGTGTGGGACAGGGACAGCATGGGACAGAGGGACAGGGACAGAGGGACAGGGGGACGTGCATGGGGGACAGGGACGGTGTGGGACAGGGACAGCATGGGACAGAGGGACAGGGACAGAGGGACAGGGGGACGTGCATGGGGGACAGGGACGGTGTGGGACAGGGACAGCATGGGACAGAGGGACAGGGACAGAGGGACAGGGGGACGTGCATGGGGGACAGGGACGGTGTGGGACAGGGACAGCATGGGACAGAGGGACAGGGACAGAGGGACAGGGGGACGTGCATGGGGGACAGGGACGGTGTGGGACAGGGACAGCATGGGACAGAGGGACAGGGACAGAGGGACAGGGGGACGTGCATGGGGGACAGGGACGGTGTGGGACAGGGGGTGTGGGACAGGGACAGCATGGGACAGAGGGACAGGGACAGAGGGACAGGGACAGAGGGACAGGGACAGAGGGATGGGGGGACGTGCATGGGGGACAGGGACAGAGGGACAGGGACGGTGTGGGACAGAGCACAACGACAGAAGGGGACGGACAAACGGACAGGAATGGACACACGAACAGCGCGGACAGGTGCAGGTGGGAGGATGGACACAGGGACGGGGGGGATGGACGGACACACGGACGGGTGGACACGGGGATGAGCAGACACACGGACACTGGGAGGGTCACACGGACAGGAAAGGGACAGACACAGGGACACGGGGATGGTCAGACACATGGACACAGGGACAGACGGACACAGGGATGGTCAGACGCACGGACAGATGGACACAGAGACACAGGGACACAGGCACAGGACAGACGGACACAGGGATGGTCAGACACATGGACACAGGGACAGACGGACACAGGGACACAGGCACAGGACAGACAGACACAGGGATGGTCAGACACAGGGACAGAGGGACAGACTGACACAGGGGCACGGGGACAGGACAGATGGACACGGGGACAGACGGACACACAGACACGGGGACAGACGGACACAGGGATGGTCAGACGCACGGACAGATGGACACAGAGACACAGGGACACAGGCACAGGACAGACGGACACAGGGATGGTCAGACACATGGACACAGGGACAGACGGACACAGGGACACAGGGACAGGACAGACGGACACGGGGATGGTCAGACACAGGGACAGAGGGACACAGAGACACAGGCACAGGACAGACAGACACAGGGATGGTCAGACACAGGGACAGAGGGACAGACTGACACAGGGGCACGGGCACAGGACAGACAGACACAGGGATGGTCAGACACAGGGACAGAGGGACAGACTGACACAGGGGCACGGGCACAGGACAGATGGACACGGGGACAGACAGACACACAGACACGGGGACAGGACAGACACACAGACACGGGGACAGACGGACACAGGGCACTCACAGACGCAGCCCACGATGCGCTTGCTGGACACGGAGGGCACGAGGTTCGGGTCCTCCCTGGTGCCCGCGTAGCGCTTGGGCCGGAACATGCTGTACGGGTCCTGCGGGCACCGGGGCTCTGAGCGCCCCCCGAACCCCCCAGGGCAGCCAGCCCAAACCCGGCATCCCCAGCTCCACCCCGAGACACCCTGTGCCCGACCCCCCCCAGCCCCGGGACCCTCCAAGGGCACCAAACTGGGACCTCCCTCCAGATGGCCCCGGCACCCCCAAACCCCCCGGGACGCCCCGATCTCCTCACCCCTGACCCCACCCCCGCCAAAGGCACCGAAACCCTGAAATAACCCGAGCCCCTCACCACCCCCCGAGCCCCCCGCGGCTCCCCCGGGCACCATCCGCCAATCCCTGCCCCTCCAAGGGCAGCCGAACCCCGAAACCGCCCCGGAGCCCCCCGCATCCCCTGAGCCACCCCCGACCCCAGCCCCGGCTCCCCCGGCACTCACCAGCCCCTTGTTCATGGCCTTCATCACCTTCCGCTCCAACCCGGTCGCCTGCTCCTCATCGCTGGCCAGGTTCCCTGCGGGGCGCCGTCACACCGGGGCTGCACACACCGCGCCCCGCTCCCCCCCGCTCCTTCCCCCGCTCTCCCCCCCGTCTCCCCGCTCCCCCGTCCCCGCTCACCGGGCACGCTGAGGTGGCGGGCGGGCGGGGCGCGGGCGGACGCCGCGGGCAGGAGCCGCAGGGCCGCGCTCACCCGCAGTAACCTTGAGGCCATGGCGGCGAGACTGGCGGCACTTCCGGCACGGGCGGAAGCGGAAGTGACGTTGGGCGGGACGGCGGGACCGACAGAGGCAGCGGCGCGCCGCCACCGGAGCCACGCCCACAGCCACAGAGCCCCGCCCCTGACTGTGGCCCCGCCCCTGATAATGACCACGCCCCTGCGGGTGGCCCCTCCTCTCCCCGTGGTGGCCCCGCCCTTTTATGTGGCCACGCCCCCCCGAGCGGGTCCGGTGGTCCCGGGGGGGGGCTGAGATTTTGGATGGGAGATGGGACCCCGAGGGGACAGGAGCAATCCTGGGGGACAGGGACACTCTGGGGACAGGGACACTGAGGGCAGGGACAGTTCTGGGGGGACAGGGACACCCTGGGGGGACAGGGACAATGTCCCCGGGGCCATGGCGATGGGACACCTCAGCACTGGGGGGGCACTGGGGGTTCCCTGGAGGTGACAGCGACACCCCCGGGGGGCACAGCGCCGATGTCCCCAGGCTGCGGGACAACCCCCCCCGGGGGGTGGGGACACCCCCCCGCCCTCCCTGCCTCAGTTTCCCCTCCCCGCGCTGCTTACTCATGGCCATCGATGCCATCGATCCCCCGGCCCGGGGGGGCACAACGGAACCTTCCCCCCGCCCCCGTTTCGGGGCCCGCTCCGGTGGCACCGTCCCGCTGTGACCCCGACACCCGCGGGAGCCGCGGGGAGCGGGGGAAGCGCCCCCGAACCCCCTCCCCAAAAACAAAACAAAAAACCCCAAAACTTTCTTTGGGAAAGTGCAGAAACCACGGGAGGGCCGGGTGCCAGGGGAGGAGGAGGAGGAGGAGGAGGAGGAAGAGGAGGAGGAGGGCAGGACGGGCACAGCACCGCCCGCGCTCCCGCAGCTCCGGCAGAGCCCCGCAGGCTTTGGGGGACCCCCGGCGCCCCCCGGAGCCCCCCGGGGCCATGGGCATCCAGGGCATGGAGCTGTGCGCCGTGGCCGTGCTCATCCTCCTCTTCATCGCCGTGCTCAAGCAGTTCGGCATCCTGGAGCCCATCTCTGCCGAAGGTACCCCCGCCGCCCCCAGCCCCAATTAACCCCGATCGGTGATTAATTGGTTAATGAGGGCTCAGCCCCAGCGCTCCGCGAGCTCCCGGGCCGGGCAGCAGGAGCGGGGTCGGGTTTGGGGTCCCCTCGGGAGGGTTTGGGGGGAAGGGTAGATGGGGATTGGGGCTGGGGGGAGCGGGCAGGGAGCCCAACCCCCCCTGCAGCCCCTCCGGGCGGGGGGACCCACGAGACCGCCCCAAAACACCGGGAATGGGGACCCCCAGAGACCCCCAAATACCTGGGAATGGGGACCCTCACCCCAAAACACCAGGGATGGGGACCCCCGAGACCGCCCCAAAACACCGGGAATGGGGACCCCCAGAGACCCCCAAATACCTGGGAATGGGGACCCTCACCCCAGAGACCCCCCAAAACCCGGGGATGGGGACCCCCACCCCAAAACACCAGGGATGGAGATACTCACCCTAGAGACCCCCCCAAACACCAGGGATGGGGTCCCCCATCCCCGAGATCTCCCCCCCACCCCGTTAACCCCCAGGAGCGGGCAGCGGGGACCCCCAGTGACCCCCAAACCTCCCCAGGGTGGGCCGGGAGGGCTCTGAGCTGGCGCTGACCCCAACAAGCCCCCCGAGGTGGGGGTCACGACCCCACAGTGACCCCCGAACCCCCTGAGATTGGGCACAGGGACCCCCCAAGGCCCCCCCAGGTCCCCTCGCACCCCGAGCTGGGGGTCACCCTTGGGAACGCTCCGGGCTCGCAGCCCCGTCCCAAAATCGCTGAGCAGGGGCTCCCCGAGCTGCAATTATTAATGAAGCATCATTTATTAATTACCTTCCGCCGGGCCGGGCGGCCAAGAGGCGGCTCGGGAACGTTCGGAGCCTTGGGAATGCGGGGAAAGCCCCGGGACGCGACACCCGCCGTGTCCGGGGTCACCGGGGAGCTCCGGGACCACCGGGCCGGGTTTGGGGGGAAAGGAGGGGGGTCTTTGGGGGTTTTGGGGCACAGGGGGTGTCTCTAAGGGGTTTTTCCCCGAGTGGGTTTGGGGTGCAGGGGGTCTCTAAGGGGCTCTTTGGGGTGTCCCCAAGGGGGTCTTTGGGGGTTTGGGGTGAAGGGGTGTCCCAAAGGGGGTTTTGCAGGTGGATTTGGGGTGCAGGGGGTGCCCCTAAGGGGGTCTTTGGGAGTCTGGGGCACAGGGGGGTCTCTAAGGGGGTTTTCCCTAAGTGGGCTTGGAGCACGGGGAGCGTTCCTAAGGGGGTCTTTAGTGCGCAGGGGGGGGGCCCCTAAGGGTTTTTTCCCGGTGGATTGGGGATGCAGGGTGTTCCTAAGGGGGTTTTTGGGTGTTTTGGGGCACAGGGGGGTCTCTAAGGGGGTTTTCCCTAAGTGGGCTTGGAGCACGGGGAGCGTTCCTAAGGGGGTCTTTAGGGTGCAGGGGGGGGGTCCCTAAGGGTTTTTTCCCGGTGGATTTGGGGTGCAGGTTGTTCCTAAGGTGGTCTTTGAGTGTTTTGGGGCGCAGGGGGGGTCCCTAAGAGGGTTTTTCCCGGGGTCTCCCCCCGCAGACAGCGGCGATGCCGACGTGGAGCTGCCGAGCGCCCGGCACCATCCCGAGGGGCTGGAGCAGCTGCTGGCTCGCACCAAGTTCACCAAGCCGGAGCTGCAGTCGCTCTACCGAGGCTTCAAGAGCGTGAGTCGGGGCTCCCCGCACCCCAAAGCCGCGTCCCCCCGCGTCCCCCGGGGTCACCGGCGCCGCTCCCTCGGCAGGAATGCCCCAGCGGCCTCGTGGATGAGGAGACCTTCACGCTCATCTACTCGCGCTTCTTCCCCCGAGGCGGTGAGTCGGGGGTCCCCAAAGCCCCCGGGTGAAGGGGGGGACACCGGGGAAGCGGGCAGTCACCGTGCCGTCCCCGCAGACGCCAGCTCCTACGCCCACTTCTTGTTCGACGCCTTCGACGCCGACCGCAACGGGGCTCTCTGCTTCCAGGTGGGAATTCCGGGTGGGAACGGCGGTGCCAGCAGCGTGATTCATCACATCCTTCCTCCCCTCCTCCTCCTCCTCCTCCTCCTCTCCCCTCCCCGGCTGTGGCCGGACTCTCCGGGATAAAAATACCGGGATCAATAGGGGCTGAATCCCTGGGGCGCCCCGGGATCGATGCGGCGGCGGCGGGGGGCGGGGGGATGGCCGGGGTGAGGGTCCCTCCCGCCGCCCCCTCCCAGGATTTCGCCGTGGGGCTCTCGGTGCTGCTGCGGGGCACGGAGCAGCAGAAGCTGAGGTGGACCTTCGACCTCTACGACGTGAACAAGGACGGCTGCGTCAGCAAGGAGGTGACAGTTGGGGACAGCGGGGGGGCTGGCGGGGTGGAGACGGGCAGAGGGGGAGCTGCCAGCGCCCTGTGTCCCCCCAGGACATGCTGCAGATCATGAAAGCCATCTATGCCATGATGGGCCGCTGCACCGAGCCCGCCCCGGGGGCCAGCGCGCCCGCCCAGCACGTGGAGCTGTTCTTCCAGGTGAGGCTGTCCCCGTGTCCCCAAGGCCACCCCCGGGGCCGCCCCGCGGAGCCCCGCTGAGCCCCGGCCGCTGCCTTGCAGAAGATGGACAGGAACGGGGACGGCGTGGTGACCTTCGAGGAGTTCCTGGCCACGTGCCAGGAGGTGAGGGGGGCTCGGGGGCACCCTCCTCATCCTCCTCCTCCTCGTTCTGTCCCGAAATGACGCGCTGGGGACACGGTGGGAGAGGAGGGACAGCAGGAGAGGCACGGGAGCTGGGGCTGGGAGGAGGATTTGGGCAGGCAGGAGGGCTGTGGTGGGATGTGTGGGATGCTGGGGACAGGGAAAGGGTGACAAGAGGAGGGGGCTCAGAGGGGCGTCTCCGCTCTCTCCCTGCCCAGGACAAGGACATCATGAGCTCCATGCAGATCTTCCACAGCGTGCTCTAGAGCCTGCCCCCGCCGGAGTTTTTCTGCTGTTTCGGACAAGCAGGAGGCAGGAGAAATGCAGCAAGTGGCTCCCAGAGACGGGACAGGACAAGGACAAAGACAAGGACAAGGACGATGCCACCAGAGCCCCCGGGCACGGTGCTGCCACCCGCCAGCCTGACCCATTTTGGGGGGCTGAGCCTCCCCTCGACGCGGACCCCCCCCCCCCCCCGCGCGGGGGGNCGGCCCCGGCCCCCCCCCCCCCCGGCAGTGCAGGGACCTGGAACAGCACAAACCCGACCCCAGGGGGGACCCCGGGACGTGGGGACCCTCAGAGATGGGACCCCCGGGTGGGGTCTCCATGTGGGATGGAGCCCCCAGACGCCAACCCAAGCACAGCCCCTGCTGCCCCAGCAGCGTGGGGAGGGCGATTTTGTAATAAACCAAACGGTGACGGTTCAGGGCTGAAATGGACTCGGGGGGACGTGAGAGGCGCGCGGTGTCCCGGTCCCGTTCCCCGTGCCTCTTCCAGGCCCATTCCAGGTCCCGTTCCCAGTCCCAGTCTTGTTCTCTCTCTCTTTCCCAGCCCCGTTCTCGGTCCCGGTCCCTCTCCCATTCCCGGTCTCAGTCTCGTTCCCTCTCTCATTCCCGGTCCCGGTTCTATTCCCAGTCCCGTTCCCCTTCCCTCTCCCAGTCCCATTCTCATTCCCGGTCTCAGTCTCGTTCCCTCTCTCATTCCCGGTCCCGGCTCCATTCCCAGTCCCGTTCTTATTCCCTCTCTCATTCCCATTCCCGGTCCCGGTCCCATTCCCATTCCCTCTCTCATTCCCAGCCCCATTCTCAGTCCCGGTCCCGGTCCCTCTCCCATTCCCGGTCTCAGTCTCGTTCCCTCTCTCATTCCCAGTCCCGTTCTTATCCCCTCTCTCATTCCCATTCCCGGTCCCGGTCCCTCTCTCATTCCCAGCCCCGTTCTCAGTCCCGGTCCCGGTCCCTCTCCCATTCCCGGTCTCAGTCTCGTTCCCTCTCTCATTCCCGGTCCCGGCTCCATTCCCCTTCCCGTTCTTATCCCCTCTCTCATTCCCATTCCCGGTCCCGGTCCCTCTCTCATTCCCGTTCCCTTTCCCTTTCCCGTTCCCGCTCCCGCGGCCCCGCCCCCTGCACCCTCTCCTCTCATTGGCTCTCATTGAATATTTGGCACCGCCCCCTGCGCCATCCCATTGGACAGCCCGAATGGGGCGGGGTCTCGGCGCGGCGACCTTCAGGGGGGCGGGGGCGGCACGTGACGGGGCGGGGCCGGGCCCGCAGCGCCTCCTGGCGGAGCGGGGGAGCGGTCGTGTGTGAGACCCCCGGGACTGGGGGGGGGCGGGAACGGGGGGGACCCCTGGGAACGGGAGAATGGGGAACGGGGGAATGCCCGGGAATGGGGGGACCTCTGGGAACGGGGGGGATCCCTGGGAACGGGGGGGGCTGGGAACGGGGGAATGCCCGGGAATGGGGGGTCTGGGACTGGGAGATAACCCTGGGAACGGGGGAATGCCCGGGAACAGGGGGGACCCCCGGGAGCGGGGTGTCTGAGAACGGGGGGGATCCCTGGGAACGGGGGAATGCCCGGGATCGGGGGGATCTGGGATTGGGGGGGATCCCCTGGATCGGGGCTGGGGGGATTGTGGCGTCGGTGGAGAATCCCTTGGGACCGGACTGAGCGGGTGAGAAACGGGGGTGACCCCCGGATCCTGTGCAGGACCGGGGGGGAATCCCTGGGACCGAGCGGAATCGGGGCGGGGGGAGCGTGCAGGGCCCGGGAGCGCATCCCGGGGGGGCTGCGGGGGTTGCGGGGATCCCGGGGCCGCGGTTCAGCCGAGCCCGGCGCCGCAGGCGATGCGCGGGGCGCTGCGGCTGGTGCGGTTCCGGGGGGCCGCGGGCGGGGGGCCCCGGCTCGGGCTGGAGGAGGCGCCCGGGGGGGACCTGGTGGATCTGAGCGCGGCCGAGCCGGAGCTGCCCCGGTCCATGCGGGAATTCCTGGAGATCGGCCCCCGCGGGCTGGAGCTCGCCCAGAGGTGGGTGAGGCCAAGGGTGACCCCCAAAGAAAGTGGGGGACCCCCAAAGGAGGTGGGGGACCCCCAAAGGTGGGCGATCCCCAAAGGTGGGTGCTGCAAGTCCGGCTCCCCCCCAGCGGTGGAGAAAAGGGAGCCCCAAAATCGGGGGTATCCTCAGGGATCCCCACAGGAGCCGCCACCCAAATCTGCTTGCTGCCTCGGATGACCCCAAATGGGTCACCCCCAGCAGCTGGCCCCCCAAAAACGTGGGCACTCCAAGCCACGGGTGACCCCCCTATGATGTGTGACCCCCAAGAGAGCCTGACCCCAACCAGGGGGTCCCCTCAGCTGCGGATATCCCTAAAAGGATCCCTAAAATGCAGCTGAAGACCCCCCAGAGGGGTGCCCCCGAGTGTCCCCAAGGCGGGTGACCCCCGTGTGGACGCGGACGTGTCCCCGCAGAGCGCTGCAGTCGGGGCAGCACCGCGTGCCCCGGGGGGCTGCACGGCTGCTGGCACCCCTGGGGGACCCCCAGAAGGTGATCTGCGTGGGGCTCAACTACCACGACCACTGCCAGGAGCAGGCTGCCAAGGTGCCCAAGGAGCCCCTCATCTTCAGCAAGTTCCCCAGCGCCATCGCCGGCCCCTTCGATGACATCGTGCACCCCCAGGACACCAGCGTGGGTACCCCGGTGTGTCCCCACCCCCGGGACAGCCCCCCGGGGATGGCCCTCCCAGCCCCTCTGTCCCCGCAGGAGCTGGACTGGGAGGTGGAGCTGGCTGCTGTCATCGGGAAGAGGGGGCGGCACATCCAGGTACCCTGCCCCTGCCTCGGGGAGTGTCCCCTGAGTGTGCCCTGGGAGTGTCCCCTGAGTGTGCCCTGAGTGTCCCCGCCTCGGGGAGTGTCCCCTAGGAGTGTCCCCTGGGAGTGTCACCTGAGTGTCCCC